GAAGCGCAAAGCTTGGGCATTCTTTCCCCAAATTTACTTCTCCTTTCGTTTGGAACCGCTTCAATGGTCGTCTCTCGCTACACTCCATTCTTCTCTACCGTATCGCACGTTAGACACAGATTCAGAATTCATCAATGCATTGCTTACTCGCGTTCTCGGCGAAATTCACAACCCCAACTGCTCAGCCCTTCAAAGGGAATCCACAATTGGAATCTCGAACCGTTCGTTGGTCGCCCAGTGAGCCAGAATGAGCTCGTGGACCTCGCGGCTCACGGCGAAGGGTGTGGAGCTTCACAGTGAAAGAAATTTCTTTGAGACGCTTCGACCGACGGAACTGCAGAAACAGGACCTTCATTCAAGTGGCCAAAAACCTGGCTGGGCCGCTGTCAATCAGAGTCAAATTCTGATCGTAGTGTGGAGTGACCTGACCACATTCCGATTCGTCAATTCACGGTCCAGTCGCGATATCACCGGCCGGGAGGAGAGGGTGGTCCGCCGACCCGAAACTCTCGACAATTGTGTGGCCTGTGTCGTGGGGTGTACTCGGTATCTTTCGACGCAAAAAAGCCATCCAGCCAACAATTTCCCGTCGCTCGGCATTCCTAGAGGCGGAGCCTGCCCTTGTTGTGTCAAGCAATCGAAAACCGATGCCTCAAATTGATCGCCTCTAGGCACGTTTTCATGTTGGTAATGCCGTGCAAGCGAACACTACGCTGATCTTACCGGACCGACAAGCCCTGAATGATGCAAGTACGGATGAGCGATGAGCCATCGCCGGCGCAGTATCAGGCCGTGGTTGTTTTGTGCGGGTTATTTTATGGAGACCTGGCTTTGTCCGTGTCTTCGACGGCTGTTACTAGCACAGCAAACTCCCAGTATCGGCCCTTGAGAAGCCACCAAGTCAAACCTAGGATAATCAATTACGATAGTCGACCTTGCGTGGCTGTGTGGTCCGACGTTTTGTGGATGAATCTTCTGGGCCATTGTTTCCCCTCCGGTTGTCGCTGCTAGACTTCCAAGCCAGGCCAACGTCACAAACGTGTAATGGGCTTTCCAGTTGCCTTTGGGTGCTACAAAGAAGACAGCTCGTTTCCTTGCTGGCAGAAACAGGGTGAGAGATCTCTATGGTTGCCCCTTGAACTTCACCCACCAACGTAGGTGCGTATTTCACTTCAATCCAGCCTTTATCCTTCAGAGAATACGATGGAGTCGTATGCACCGTACCACAAGCCTCTGTAATGGCCGTCTGAGCTATCACTGTCACTGATACCAAACGCCCTGCATCGCCACAGACGACCTCGGTCGGGGGTATGCAGTCGAGATCATGAGCTTCGTTTGTTAGCACGGCAAGTTGGCACGTAGGTGTCTCTAACCTCGCTTTATCGTGCAGACTCGCGCGGGTGAGCTGTCTATCGACTGTCGATCTTCAAACATGAACTGGTTACAGCTCCGGTTTATCCCGCCCATGCTTTTTGATCATGGCCATTCTGCGCGTAGTCATGGTTCGACAGCATGGCCGTATGTTCGGAACAAAAAGCATCTAGGATGCACGGGAATCCCATTGTGGTAAAGGATACGGTTTCTGCTCAGGACAATTTCCCATACACCAATTTGGCGACCCGGATGTCTGTCTCTCGATTGATGCACCATCTGCCCGAGGGCTTCCGGTACAAAGTCAGCAACACATGAAGCAAGGTGCGCAGCTAAACAATACGTACCAGAACACGGCAAGTTCTAGCCCAAGTTTTATTAAACACACAGTGTACTGCCCTCTGTAGTCATTTCATCCTCCAAGTCGAGGGCTAGGCCACACATAGTTCTACTATGGCAACTATGGGCCCACGTTTCCGACCGGTGCAGCTTTATTATTGCTTTACATTTGGTTTACAACGCTTCAATTATCAAGAAATAGATGTACTGGTTGACATAGCGGCGGAACATCAGGCATTGTCAACGCGATGCGGGCGACCTGCAGCCACCGTCCGTAGCGACTGGAGTCTAGCTAGGCCCAAGGGCGATGATTGGTGGTAGTTTCCAAATTCATGGATACAACAGATGATACGAGGAACAGGGTAGCTGAAGCTCTTCATTGACTCAATCATGTTAGCTCGATGCGATTCGAAAACGCCTTCGGAGGTCCTTGCATGCAGCATGGGGAAAAGAATCTGGGGAGTACGGCGCATGCGCTTGAGATAAGAACTAATCAGCTTGAAGATGGGGCGTCGCCCCCGTTGTCGATCCTCGAAATGGCTTACATCCTGTGGCTTGTTCACTTCTGTTGCGGGATCTTGCGTTTCTACGGAGTATCTTGCCAATGGATTTGCTGGCCAGCCTCCCTCAAGAAAAACTTCTGCGCCAACCCCCCGGGACAACTTAGCAAGCGCCTTTCCGCATGAATATTCTGTACAAAAGTTACTGCAATTTGGGGTTGTATATCAAATTATTTTTACTCCATTAATCACAAGGCGACTACAAACCCGGATATCCTCGGGGAAAACCTGTTGTCTCTGTTGATATCGTTTTGGTACTGAGCGCAACTGGATGCCCGCTGCAATCGGCTGACATTATGAAGTCAAAGCTCATGAAGGACAGTGTGTCATCAAGTCAAGTCTGTCTCCGAGGAGCAAAGAGTCACATCTTGGTGTTTGGCCGTCATAAATTTCGCTCATGGCACAAAACGTCTTCACAACATTATCAACATGATAAATTGATAACAAAACAGATATCAACTAGGCTTAACCCCGCTTCCTCGCACACGGTGTAACCAACCATCCAGATGATCATCCCGATGTACACCCACTCAACCACTGCGATTGTACTCTGTACCACTAAGTTGTGGCATTTTGTCGGTTTGGATCTACTAGTTCTGCAACACCCATGCATATTACCCTTGCAATAATGCATGAAGCACCACAACTGGCCAGCCGCAAAACCAAACAGCCAACAGGTATCTCCTCATTGTGTCACCTCCCGGCCAAGGTGGCGCGGAACCGAAAAAGCTAGAGAGAGCCAAGGAGCTTGTTTACTGGGCTGCCTTGAGCCCAGTCCAATGGCTCTATTGGATGGGGGGGCTGACTTTCGTGTGTCTTTGAATCATATAAATGGCGTACATGCCATTATGACTGAACTACAGGGTTCCTCCGAGATCTCAAGACTGAATAATCATACTGGTTCACTGTGAGGAAACCCACCAAGTTGCTAACTCATAAAGAATCGTAATATAACGTAAGTTTGGGCGACACTCCAAGAGGCGGTGTCGGTGGTGAGAGATGGGCCGTATTGCTGGCCTGGGCTAGAAGTTTCCCGGGCAGCTAGTTACTCTACGACAAAAGATACAGTCAACAGAGCGATTTCTAATGCTCACTTAGCGGTTCAGAACGGAGCCTTTATTTGTTTCTAAATTAAAACGGGACGGCAACTATTTCTCCACTCATGAGCCAAATCAAGGGTAGTAATTAATACCCCGACAGTCCATTCAGAGTTCACTTCAACGCCTGACGGGACGTGTGTTGCCAAAACACCCCCTTTGATTCCGCCAGTATCCAGTCCAGCCTCATCGAGATCCGCAGTGGGCCAGTCCTTCGGGGATCAATTACACGCTGAGGACTCGTGGACCGGTCTATTACTCTTGGGACTGGACTAGCTATCGTGCAAAGACAGCAGAAGCTCAATCCGAAAATGCAATTGCACCAGGCACAGCATAGAAGCTAGGGAAAGGCATATGGCACCGGGTCTCTGTTGCACATCGGTACCGGTGCTAGAATGTCGACAGCACAGTGAGCAGCAAAATCCACGATGCAACCTCTCTGAAAACCTTGATGGGCCAATCACCCTTTTACTGCACGTCAAGCACCATGCTGGGGAACCAGAGGAGCTTCATCACGTCAAATCAAATAGAGGCCCGCGTTCCGTTCTAATCCTGGCATCAGGAACAGAGCATTTTAGATCTCAGAAACACTCCATGTGCAGCAAACTCGTTTATGACGGCTACCCTGGTTGTTGCAAGAATGGCCTGGTTGGGGGCGCCTCTGTGCAGGCACCAAACGACGAGCCAGCTCACAAAGGTTCCCGATAGCATAATTTCGCCTGGTTGATGATGATGTGTTTGTTTTGTCGCCTCATTCCACATGCTTCAACTTCAACATACATGATGGCTGCCAGCCACGAACGGTTTCCGAGACACTTGTCGAAGCAGTTGCGAATGCTCTTTCACTTAAGGGATAGGTGTTGCACAGCAGCCGTGGGCCTGGCCGCATGCATTCACAACCGGTCAAGCTTCCATTCGGGGTCTGATTGGGTTGATATAAACTCTTCTGGCCAGGCCGGCCGTGTATATCCCTGCTTAGCCATTTTGCTTCGCGACCACACCCTTTTGCTGCCACGTTTACGCACACCGATTCTGCTCCCGGCATTCTCCATTGAATGGCAGAAGCTGCATCAAAAACATGGGGGGATGAAAGAGAGATGGCTAGTTAGAGTACCCTCGGCACGCTCGATTGAGACTTGGATGTTATCCGAGTCACATATGCATACACATACCCCGCATTATCCCTTCTTTTTGTCGTTGCTATGACTGTTCAGCAAGCCTCCAAGCCTCACGCCGACTGAATTGCATAACATTGTCGTCGTTTATTCTCATATTGCACTTTCCCGACAGAGTCGTCTCTTCTTATCAGGACGGGATATAGTCATAGACAAGCAAGAATAATCAATGGAACTAATCTTTGGAAACTGTAAGCTGTCGATTCAGGGTAGGCGGGTTTGGCAGGCGTGCTGTCAAATGAGACAGTTCTTAGTGGCGGGAGCTGCCACCCTCCGCGCAAGGATGTATAGGAGGTTGTCGATATGAGCAAGAGAATGCAACCCATTCGCCGGATGTTGCTTCGGAAGCGGCGGGTCTTGCCGAACCACCTTTGTTGTCTCCCGTTATGATTATCCGAAGGGTCTACTAACAGGATACAGCGTCGCAGGAGACGTTCATGCAAAGTTCAGTTGCCTTGTCAAGCCCGCGGGGAGAAAGCCACCTCAGGAGGCAGACGGAAACTTGCGCAAAACATCCTCTTTGCGGGAGCGACATCCCGAACCTCGTGGATAGCCACTTCTCCTTCCACTTCCGCGCTACCCGGCTTCAGCTGGACACCAATTTCGCTGTAGATGCGTTGGCATATATCATCAAGAGGGGTCGCATCGTCCGCCTTGACGGCAAAGCAATGCGCGTGGATCAAGGGCAACTTTGTGTCCGTGTGTGGCGTGAAGAGCATTTCATGGCCGTGGTACAAGCCTTTGAAGTTATGTAGGAACTCGAGAGCAGAAGCAGGCAAGTTCATGACATAGTGGGAAATGGTAGGGGGCACAGGAACGCGAACTGGCTCGGGCCGCTTCTCTGGTGGTACGCTACGAGACACCTTGACGGGTTTGAGGACGGCGCAGTCTCGGCGCTGAGAGGCTTCCAACACGAGGTCTGCGGCTCGTTTGATGAAGTCGTGGCCGTCTTCGTTGAAGGGTTTGACAAACTCGGTCACCTATAACGTGTCAGTTGACATGTTGACTTTGCGCGTCTTGCCCCCTCCTGAATTCTCCCGAAGCCCGGCAGAGAAACTCCCTCACCTTGTTCCTCTTGACAATTTCAGTGAGATACTTGTAACTCTCCGGGTTCTTATCATTTGCCCAGACGAAAACACCCTTCTTCCCCGCGGGCGCGGCAAAAGGTCCGATCCCAGCCATCACATCGGCAACTACCTCGCCAGGCTTGAACATGGCACAGATCCGTTCATGTTCCCCACTCAGCTTCGAGTTCCAGTACACCTTGGAGTAGTCAAAGTTGAAGACGCATCCGGCCTCACTAACCTCCACCAGCATGTCATCGGGACCAGCCAGTACCTCGTAGCTGAATGTTCGGAATTCATTCTGGGTGCCAACATCGTCCGTCTTGTTGATAACTGTCCGGATAACAGGATTCTTGTCGAGAATGACCTGGCCAATGACGTATTTATACGGCTGATATCGGTCTCTCAAATTCAGGTGCGCTGTTCAAGACGTCAGATGGAGATCAAGTAAACTTCAGAAGTGTGGTAGTGCGTACCCACGTGCCCTGCGGTGTTAAAACTCGCGGGGATCTCGTCCTGAAGCTCCTCCGGTATTATCGACCTCATAATGTCAACTACACAGGATTAGTTGCACATCCCATGTTTGACACGTGAGAAAAGTGGCAGCTCACCATACGACCACAGCTTATAATCAATCGTCACGTCAAACGGGACAATCTTCAAATCCCCAATCTTGGTCGCTTCCTGCAACACGGGACTCCACGTTTCGGGGGCTACCGCAAGCATGTTAGCATTCCTATGCAAGCCAGAACGCATAAACAAACCAAATAACAAACAAGAAAAAAAAAACGACAGTATACCTGATATTTTCAAATCCGGCCTCAGAATAAGACACTTCTTCCCCTGGCCCGCCAACGCCTCGTCCGGATCCGCGGCAATCGGGTCAAACTTCTCCAGCATCAGCACCTCCCTCGTCTTCCCAAACTCCTTCCTGTACTTGGAGATGAGCTTGTTCTCGCGCACGCTCGCCGCAACAGTGGGCAGCGTGCGTGAGAACAGGGCCCTGTCGAGGGTTTTGGCAGCTCGAGCCGCGGCAGGGGGGTTGAAAAGGTTCATTTCTAGTTCCGAGCGTTTGGTCTGTTCATCTACTTAGAAATCTTGTCCCATGGTTGCGCCATGCGTAAAAAAAAAGGCGAAAAAAAAGTTGCGATGAGATGAGGATATGGCGTGGAGCTAGATAAAAGTGAGATTTCCCCCCCTTTTGACGTACCTCCATGGTATACCCCGTGGTGAGAAGGCGGACCGAGATCAGACGAAATGATGTTTTTTTTTTCCGACGACTCACTCAGTCGTGAGCGACATGGGTTAAGGCAGCGAGGCTGATGAAAATCGCGGTCTCGGGTAAGTGTGGGGCCACTTCAGGCGAGGCTGCGTGATGTCACCACTTGCATCCAACGCTTCAATTCGAAACTATATCCACTACATCCTGTATCGCGTTTCTCTCTGCCGTTTCCGTTATTTCAACTTGTGTGCTTCTGTAGGTCTATTGGAGATGGCTCAGAAGCGGACACTGGACGCGTTCTTTACGGCGGCGCCGAAACGGCGTAGGGAGAATGAGCCAGATCAGGATGTAAGTCTGCCACGACGCACGACACGAATCATCACAGATGTCTAAATAGGCTCAGACTGGTCACTCAGCGCACTCGGCGTACCCGTTCCCGATAGCCAACCTGCCGGCCCCGATAGTACGGGACGTGGCATCCCTCCCAGCTCGCCCGGGAAAACGCGTCAACGACCAGCCAGACTTGGACTTGCTCTATTTTGAGCCATACATCCCAGCATACATGGGCAAGGAGATGTTCGACTTCCTGCGGTCAGAGCTGCCTTTTTACAGGGTGGAGTATGACATTAAGCGCGGCGGACTTCAAACGCACATCGTCACACCCCGGTACGTATCCCATGTACGAAAGGCAGCCAACAAGCAGTGCGGGTAGTTATTTCACCCACCCCGGCGTTGAAACACTACGGTAGATGCTGGGCCGTGTCAAACGTACACACAAACTACGTCGTGGAAATATCGCTCTAAATGCCTGGATAGATGGACAACGGTATTCGGGCTGGACGACACATCGTACTTTGATGCCGGCGGCACCGTCGTGGACAAATTGTCCGCCATGAAAGCCAACGACAAACGGTACGACCGCTACCCCCCGCGTCCTATCCCGCAGTGTCTGGATGCCCTCCGCAAATCAACCGAGGCGGCGACGAATTGCAAATTCAACTTTTGCCTCGTGAACTACTACGCTTCCGGGGCAGACAGTATATCCTTCCACAGCGATGATGAGAGATTTCTCGGCGCAGAGCCGGCGATTGCGTCGTTTTCACTCGGTGCCCGGCGGGATTTCTTAATGAAGCACAAGCCTCCTCGGTCCGGTGAGTCGGCGGCCGCAGGGGAGGCCAGGGGGGTCAAGTTGGCGCTGGGCAGCGGCGACATGGTTCTCATGCGGGGGAGGACGCAATCAAGTTGGCTTCACTCTGTTCCCAAGCGCAAGGGCAAAAACCAGGACGACGGGGGACGTATAAACATTACGTTTCGGAGGGCCATGGTCAAAGACGGAACGGAAAATTATTACAACTACAATGTCGGGAGTGGTCCTGTGTATCGATGGGACAAGACGAGGCGGCAGATGGTCTTGTGGGAACATGGCTAGACAAGTGCCGCTTTGTTGCCGCGGCGGCAAACGTGACGGCCTAATGATTCTCACCTGGCACCTTGCTGACCCTACATCTAAAACACTGTGAAGCAATGGAAAACACTCTATAGCGAATGTACAAGTCTAGAAGTCTATAGCTCAACTAACAAAGTCAGATCAATCAGATCCGTACATCAGCCTACTTGCCCCGGATCTCTCACTATATTCTACTGCCCCAAGGTTAGTAGCTCCTCGCGAACGCTAATATTTCTTAGCCAAGAATCAACAGGAGCAATCAGATTGATCAACCAGCCAAGAGGGGTGCATGACCACAGCTTGTTAATGGACACGGCGACAGCCTGGACCGGGGGCGCTCCATTAGCCGCCGCCTTCATAATATTCTCGTTGAGCGCGCCAACTGGCGTGTACGACCACACATTAACAACCTCATTAACATTCTTATTGGCAGTTGCCAGCTTTTCCTCGGGGTCTGTGCCTTGCTGACTTCCCTCGCAATATCAGGCAGGTTCCTGGCAACGTCTTGCCAGAATCCAGGAGGCGTTGCGTAGCGGACCGTGGCGAAGATGTCGACGACGATGTTCTTGAGGATCTCAGCTGCTTTTTCGCCACTTTCAAAGTCTGTCCAGCGCTTTTCCATGGTTTCCGAGAGCGCGCGCTTGAAAGCTAGTTGAATATCTGAGACGGTGATTTCGCCAGACTGGATGGCCTCGACAAGGGGGCGAATAAATCCGGGGTCCAGCTCGGTGAGGAAATGCAGGAACTTGCCTCTCCGTGGTCTTTTGCCCCGTGATCCCGCTCTTTCCCTCTCCCTCTCCCTTGCCCTTGCCCTTGCCATCGTCCTCTCCAGGACCTGTCTGCTTCGGCGGCGTCTTTTTGGGTTCCTCGGCCCACCCAGCTGGATCGCAGACGACGGCCCGCTTCCTCTGCAAAACGCACCGTCCAGCCGACCTCAGCGAGTATCCTTCGTTCCTGATCTTGCTAGACCTGGCGGACGGGTTGTCCCGGGTCACCTCGTACGCGTGAGAGACGCTGGAGCCTGGAACGGAGCCCTTGACGGCGAATTCCTGATTACGCTTCACTTCAGGGTTCTTGTCTGGGGAGTAGATTCCGGGAATCCAATGACCCTCGGGCACGTCCTTGGGCGCAATGACATGAATATAGCCTTTTTGGCTGTTGTTCGCGCTACGACCAGAGGCGTAATTTTGCGCTGACTCGGGTGATCTGGAGAGCGACACGAAGGCCGAGTCGCCTTTAAACTCGAGATGATGCTGCAGGTTGGTATTTCCGCTCTGCGGCTGGAAGCCCGAGGCAAATATTTCTGAAGGAGGTCGGGAGTCGCCGCGGTAAAACACCCCCGTTTTACCGGTCCCGGTTGACTTTAGCTTGGAACCCTCCTCCGCTGATATAATCTTGGGGGGGTTTGCAGGCGCCTGGCGGTGAAAATATCTCGAGTTGAGTCTAGGCCGCGCTTGCCCACTGGCTGAGAAGCATCGAGAATAATATCAAAGACAGTCTTGCCGATGACGTCGGCCAATTTCAAGGCCATCAGTGATACCAGCTGGGAGGTCGAGTCTTGCTTCAACCAGAGCTCGTTTGGTGTCTGGGGAAATAGCAGACGCTGACACTGCTAATAAAGCAAGTAGCTGGTAGGCTCTCATACTTGGTTCGACTATACCTAGGAGGTTCTATTGTATTTTTTTAAACCTCATTTTAAAAAAAAAAAATAAGAGAAAAAATCCTTGGGCTATGACTCTGTGAGTGTAAAAGGAGAGGAGGTCTGGTGAGTGAAGAGGGTAATGAAAGACTTTTGTACGTGCTGACTACGAGAGTGCTTGATAGTGGGAATAGAACGAACCTTTCCGAGTGATAAAATAACAGGGTGATGATAATGCCACCATTCCTCTGCTCTTAATCAAGCAATCATTTCTCCTGACGCAGCCGCTCATTGTACGGGGATTCGCATAGTCTCTCCATGCGTCCAAGGGCCCGGGCTTGCGTACAAGTCGGCTCAGCCATGCTACTTCATGCTTAGTGTCATGAGAATGTTATTCTATGCTATCACAGGTAATTAATAGACCGAATGGCGTGATAGCAGCCATGGCTTAACGGGCATTAATGATGTCCTTATTGGTCACTTACGAGGCGTTGAGGCCAGAGTTATGCCCGGAAGGTCGGGCCACTTGAGCCTCAGTCATGACAGACCAGAAAAGTACCAAAATACAGGATGCTGTCAGCGTCTAACTCTTCCGTCCCATGGACTACTGTTACTTCCCCGGGGGGGGGGTGTATATGCCTACGGCTAGGTACGTGTACGTTGCCTTGGCAGAGGATAATCTCGTGAGGACCCCGGAAATGCGTGTTGCTCGGTATTGATTGGTTGATTGATTAACCCCAGCCAAATGACGAATATTGAAGAGGTATGTGATGTTTTCGTTCAAGGCTCCGCATGCTTGGACGGCAATAGGAGCGAGGAGCTTCAAAATCAATCATCAAAATAGGTGTTGTCGGCCTAGAAAAAGACAGATTCGAGTAAAGGCTGAGACGGATCATCATCATCCAAACAAGCCGTAACTAGGCGTCCAACACCCTGGCGGCTCGATGACGTCTAGGCAAGGGTGCAATAGGGCTGGCGAGACTTTGGCGCATCTCGGATTCAGAACTCGGTTTACTAGTGATTGGATCATGGCAAGGGCATGAATGCCAGCCTCTTGTACAATTCAGCCTCGTTGTCCCGTCCTTGGCGCTCTTGCTCAAGTCTGGCCACTTTTGTACTGGTCATGTTAGCTCGCCGCACCTCTTGACCGCAACCACGGAACACTCACTCGCTTGGCCCAATGCACTCGATGTACGGATGGCGATGCTAAGCCTCTCAGGCAACTCACAAAGTCTAAATTTCTACCATGCCGGTTCCACCCCAAAATATTCTGCTCAGCCTGTTGCCCCGGTCGTGCCAAGTCTGCTGGCCGCAGAGAGGCTGCTCAACATTGCCGCGGGATACATATGTATGCTCCTGTTGCGTGGCTTGGATAAACGTGCGCGTCGGAAATGAATTCCCGCATAATATGCCGTAATACTATATCTATTTATCTTGGCAGGAACGGGGTGGCCCAGTTTTGTAAAAGTCGTATGATGACTGCCAGGCAAGACTCTTTTATAACCGGGGTAATGTAGATTTACCGTTCCTCGGCTTTACACATAGCCACGTACGTACTCGAGTCACGAGTGGGCTTGACCCGAGTCATTCTCCTGAACATTGCTTCTGCACACATGTGCAACTCTCAGAGTCAAGGTACCTAGCTGCCCAGGATGACCGACGCATTGTGCCATTTCTAGCCCCGCCAAGCGCTGATACAAAGGACTGTTTCGTAGCGAGGTCCATGGCAGAGCGTTGCTGTCTGTCTGGTGCTGATGATGAAGATGATGATTTGACGTGAGACCCTCGCAACATGGTGACTCGCTATGACTGTACGAGTGTCGAAAAGTTTTACCAGCGCACCCCGTCCTTGCAAGACGTCTCCTTCACTTGGGCGGCCTGCTCTCATAAAGTCTGCAGCTTGTGGCCTTTAGATGCATCGGCTTGCATCAAAACACGTTGGATACGTATCTCTTAAGCTTGAAGCAATGAGTTGTCGTAAAGGTCATTCCACCACATTATACTTTGAAGCTCCTCCTCACTCAATTTGGCCCTGATATAATGTTCTCTTTGAGGATATCTAATCCTTTCATGAACTTCCCTAGCTGTACTCCAGCCAAAATAACCAGCCATCTCCCAGTCAATTAATCCCACAATCCCATCATTACTAACGATGCAGTTAGATGGCGTAAAATCGTTATGCATAAAGCTCATATCTTGGTCAATGTTGGCTGAGAAGAGGATATGTGCCTCCCTGGGGTTTAAACGACCATTTGTCAGGATGTTAGGATCCGTAACAACATGGTCACGGGTCTGACGGTTGCTTGGGGCCTTGATAGCGTGCAATTGTCCAAGTATCTCCCGAGCCTGTGATTTAAAAGATTTCTTTTGGTCCTCGGATAGATATGGCCATGCAACATTCAGACATACGCCGGGAAGTCTCTCCTGGGCTAATACTGGGCGACCGTTAATCTAAAATGAGTGTAAGTAAATAATTCCCTTTGGGCTGTCAATCTCAAGAGCAAATATATACCTTGCCGGCAAAATAGATATCTGGCACTCTGACTCCCTCTAGGACACTCCTGGCAATAGCAATTGCCTCGACTTCGTTAGCATCGGCGTACGAGTAATCGATCCTGGCATGTTGGTGTCGGTGGCTTGATTTGACGATGATGCTACCAACGGCGAAAACATCGCGACCTTCATTTTCGTCGGCCGGGTAAATCATGTTTGATTCTGTGCAAAGTCCAATGACTGTAGCCCAATATTGGAGAGACTCTTCAGAGCTAGAATTGACGTGCTGGATATCGATCCGGAAGTCAACTGGCCTTGGAAAGTATCTGCCATAGAAGGGTATATCCGCATACGGATCAGTCTTGGGAATGTGAATCGGGTCTGATATGTACGGATTCATGATAAAACTCGCTGTGTTGGTAAAATGTATGCGTAGGGGTAAAGAATTTTGAGCCAACAAGAGAGAAAGAAGCCGGGGTTGGGGCCTCAGACATTATCAAATGAGCCCGGCTCGACGTCGAGGCAACCGTGCGAGTTTGGAACCAACAGGAGCAAGAAATCTCGAGCAAAGTAACTCTTGCACCAGACTCCCGTTCTGTCAAATGGTGCCCGCCAAGTTTGGTTCTATCATCCGACCAACTCAGCGCTTCTCAATTTTGATTCTACCCCTTACATCTTTGAAGTGATTCCTACCTTTGGCCAAGTACACATAACCCACCATGACGACACGAGCAATATATAACGGGAACGAAGCAACTATTCATGAGAAAGGGAGAACTCCCAAGGAGAACTCTGACTCTTTAAAAGCTATTTATTAATAGATTGAGATATTTACCAAATAGAGAGAGGCCACATGGTTCTCTCACAGCAAACGAAATATCCCTTGTGGTACGTATGTGCCCAAACGTTTGATTTTATGTACCGTGTTTTTCTCATTTGCCGTTGCGCATTTGGGCTTTGGCAAACTTCCGGAGAGCCTTCAGAAACACCTGATATCCAAATCCCTCGTTATCCTGGAGGCAAAAAATTTCCGTCAGACGAATCTGCCAGGGTGGGTAACCAGACAACTCCACGTTTGGGCTAAACAGAATGAGAAGATCTGGCTCCGGCATGATTCCCTCGGAGAGTTCTGCATCCACCAGTTCCATAGAGATGTCTCGTGGTGAAATCTTGCCTCTCTGCGACATTTCCGCCAAGGTCCGCGTAAGGTCGACAATGGACTCCCTACCATCTTGTGTAGAGATGAGGTGCAGCTTCAAGTGTCCGTGTTTGTCACCAGCTAGTGCTGGAGATGAGTAGGCGTCCTTGTGTGGAGAGGTGAGCAAGAGGCTTGGCTGTTGGCCAGCGAAGTAGAAGGTGAATTTTTGCATGACGGCTTCGTAAACTCGGGGCATGTGCTTCTTCAGGATGCCTGTTTTAGACGCATTAGACACAGTAATCTACTCAAATATTGATAGAGCCAATTTAGAAGGCAATACACACCCGTCTTCTCGTAAATGGAAAGCATGGGGATCTCGGCGCTAGCACACCAAGCTGCCAGCTCAGCAGTCTCCTCAATTAGACGATCAAGGTCAGCTTTAGGTCTTTGGTTTTCCTCGGCTTTTAGAATGGCGCTCAGATGGGTAGGCTTTCGGCCTAGACCGATTATATCCCGTCGAATGTATTCCGGGGTGCCGTGATGGTAGTACAATACGGAAGAGACTTGGTAGCTGACAATATGGATGGCCTGGCGCATGCGAATGTATAGGGAAAAGAGGCCGTGCATGATGGCAAACACAAGCACAAAGAGCTGGGTTTTTAGAAATCGCCGAACGCCAAGCCGTGATCGACGCTGTGATTGGGCTTTCGAAGCTGCAACGGTGGGAATCTCGTTTGGGTTGGGAAGATTTGCCTGAATATGCTATTAGCAACTGCAGAAGACATCAATCTCGAGGGCTGGAAATTCTACCCTCATGATCCTCTCCCTCTCCTTGTCACTAAGAAACTTGTGATCCGACGCGTCATCAGCTCTGTAGGCCGCGCGGTCGCGGGCAGATATGGGCATTGCGAAGTTATTGTGGCTCGTCAGCCGGAAATGAAGTATTAGTCAAAGAAGAAAGGTATCGATTCGAAGAAAGAAGAAGCGTCGGATAGGTTGTCGCTATGAATGAGCACTCCAAATCAGAAGCACACAACAGAAAAAGAAAAGAAAAGAAAAGAAACGAAAGAAGAAAAAAGCCACAGGTCGATTGGAACAGGTGGGCTGGCTAATAAACGAAGTGGCGAAGACGAGGCAGCATGGTGATGACGGCAGTGGGAAAGAGATGGAGCGAGACGGCGGCGAGAAATGTTGGTGTTTCCTCCGTGTCTTAATTACGTCGCTAGACTTGGCAATGCGCATGTGCTTCGTAGTTCGGCTGTGGCGCAGTCGCATTCCAGGTTGCGGGCGGGCTAAGAGTGGCTCAGGATTCCTGAGTCCTACGTACTAGTGTCACACATGGGCCAGGGGTCGTCCAAGGCACGTCGCAACGTTGAACTCGACAAGGCGAAGCTCTCAACGGCGGACCTCGATGCATCGACGACATCCTCCCAGCCTGCGCAGACCCCCGACGAAAACCCGCGTCTGTACGCAGATGCCTTGATATTCCACAGCCACTACACACATGTAGCCTGTCCGCTGACCTTTGCAATCCCGCTCTCCAACAATGGAGCGGACCAGTTCGGGCCCAAAGAGCCTCTTTCCAAAAGGCCCGAGCTTCACCTTGGACAATTTCTCCAACAAGGACTTTATCGTTCGCGACTTTATCGACAGTCTAGCGGATAGTGCTGCTCCTGCCAATCGCCGCTCGGGACCTGCAGCGGCAGCATTCGACCCTAAGCCGTTAATTCGGACCTTCGAAAGTATAGCCAGCCAGCCCCAAATCCGCCTCGATGCTTCTCCCCAAGCACTACTAACCATTACTTTCTCAACAGATGCCCTATCGCAACTGGCATTACTCGGTGACGAGCTCCAAGAGAAGGAGTCCGAAATCCTGTCTCAAGTGCGTCGCGCAGAGATCCAGCATGATCAGACTCTCGATACCCTCGGTCGCACGCTCGACCAAACCATGACCTCGTTCGAGGCACTCGATGGATCGTTGGGCCAGAACAGCGCCAGCGATACTCCGGAAGCCGGGGGCCGGACCGACGGTGGAGGTAATGTGGCTGTTCAAATAGGAGAGAAGCTAGAGGAGCTTGATCGCAAACGACGCCGAGCACAAGACACCATGTTCTTGATTCAGTGCTGGACCGAGCTCAGCGAGTCCGGGCTGCTATCCTCCTTGGAAGATATTCGACTTCAGGGCGGGTCTGAGAATAAAATCAGGTGCGCAGTCATCGCGCGACAGTTGATGAGAATGAGCCAGCAGCTAGACCCGTTGTCGTGGAGTTCTTCCAACAGCCAGCGAAACAGCTCGACGCCAAGTGGCCAGACTGGCGAAGCCAAATCACATAATACGCGCGAGATTCTGGAAAAGTTCTGCGAGACCTTGGAACAGGACCTTCTAGAACAATTCAATAACAGCTACAGACACCAGAACTTTGATGACATGATGGAATGCTCCAAGGTCTTGTATGACTTTAATGGTGGCGCTAGTGTGATTGCCATATTCGTCAATCAGCATCAGTTCTTTATTGATCGAGACCAGCTGAATGATGAGGCTATTGCTGACGGAGAGACGTGGGAAGTTCTGGCGGACCCTGACTCAGACCCTCCAGGCGTCGATCCGGGGCTGCAGTCTCTCGTCGACGAGGTCAAAATTGTCATGCAGGAAGAATCATTCATCATTAAGAGAGCATTTCCGTACTATGAAACAGTCCTCATCAAGTTCATCCAGCGAGTATTTCAGCAGTCTATTCAGCAGAGACTTGAAAAGGTCCTCGGCAAGGCAGAGACCGTGTCCACTTTGGCCTTTTTGAGATCATTACATTCCTCAAGAAGCTACATAAGCTCGTTGGTGGAGGACTTGAAAACGCATGGTCTCACAGAGCACCCCGACGCATGCTCGGGGCAGATTGCGCAGACGCTAGATCAACAGATGGATGAGCTATTCGTTCCATATTTGGTGGGAAGCTCTTACATCGAACGAGAGCGAAAGAGCCTCGAGGAAATGTACGGCTCGTTGCTGTTCAAATTCACAATGTACCATTCGCGAAGAAAGAGAGCACCGCAGGGCTTCATGGCATCATTAGCCCAGCAAGGCACCCAGTTCATGGCCACGGCCAAGGACGCCTATCTGGAACGATTAGATTCTTCAGATCTCACACCGACACATAAGCAAATCATGCTGCGAGTCGCTGGTATTAAGGATAAAGAGAACAAGAACGAGATCGAGGTCTCGGAGGAAGACGGTGCGCTGAGCGTCGGCAATGCGAAGCGTATGCTCAAGTGGCTCGCGGAAAGTGTCCAGCGAACCTTGGAGCTCGGATCCCAAGCCGAAACGCCAAAGGATGTCAACACCCTCCTGCAGCTATTGCTCACCAATATGGGTCAGCTCTATGTCCAGACGGCACTGGAGGCCGCTGACGGACAAGCTACCTTGGTGGAAAACTCCAAGACGGAGCCCGACCTGACCTTCCTGCCCACGATCCGTCCGGCAGTTACCATCTCCGCCATCATGGATAGGTTCATCACCGTCGTCCTCATTCGCCTGGCCGAGTCCAACACCACGGTAAGGAAGAGCATGGAAGCCCAACGCAACATGGCCATCGACGCCATCGAGAAGAAAACCAACGCCGTCATGAAAACCTCCATCGACGTCATCACCAACTATGTCTCCAAATCACTCAGCTCCCAGAAGAAGCAAGACTTCCGCCCCAGAGGCGGCGAGCTCGAATTTCTCCAAACGCCCACGTGTCTCAACATCTGCAGATTCCTCGGCCGCTCCTCCAAAGAAGCCAGCCTCGCTATTGACGGGCTCAACGCCGAAAAGTACTTTAGCGAACTCGCACTCTCGATTCACGAGCTCCTCTTTGACCATTTCAAGAAGTTCCAGGTCAATGCAACGGGAGGGCTGATGGTCACGCAGGACATTGCAAAGTATGTCTCTGTGATGCGGGACTGGCCCCTTGCCAAGGATGTTTCGGTCATGGTTGAGCTTCTTACGGAGATTGGGTCACTGTTCATCGTAGGTCCGGAGGCACTGAGGGAGAAGGCAAGGGCGTTGGCGCCGGGCCAGAGCGGCGGGAGGGGGAAGCTGTGCAAGGGCGATTTCAGGGCATTTGTGCAGAGGAGGGACGACTCGGGGTCGGTTGGGATACAGAGTGTATTGGCAGGTCTATGAGGGGGGCCGCCTAAGTAGGAATGCATTTTCTAGGCGATGAGTATTCGGCGTTGCACGACCTGAGTGAGGGTGGGCAAAAAGACACTTGCTGCCTCCCACTGCAGTAGTCACATGGCGGTAGTTATGAGGAATGTGTCACGATATTCAAGGTTACATCCATGTTTGGTCTATGTCATCCAGTCGTGTGCTATGGTCTATTCCCATGTCTCCCAAATAAAAAAGTCGCATTAGTCATCCATCACCGTGTACGGCGCTCATCATCAACGTCGATTCATGCCCCAATTCATAAATCCCTGCGCATTCCCTTTCTGCCCGTGTGCTCCTCCACCTTTGTGTCCAAAAAGTCCACCAAATCAAGCATACTCTCGCAGGCGTTCAGCTCGGCCCTCTCCCTCTTGTTCAGCAGGGCCCTCTTGTCGGGGCCCATGCCCGGGCCCGTCATCTCCTGCACATGATGCAGCGCCAGCTTGAACGGCAGCGGCGCCCTTGCCATCTTGCACATGAGCGTTTCCACGGCCTCCCACGGACATGCCGCGTGGCCGGCAAACAGGGCCGGGTTGGCGAGCAAGCCCCGCGCCGACATGAAGCCCGACAGGTGAGTCGTGCTCGGCCGGGGCGTGGCCTCGTCCTTGACGGTGAGCGTCGACAGATCCAGGGGCTTCGTGCTGCGGATAGGAAGGGCAGAGAGGTCGAACACGTCGCCCGACAGGAGGAGCGGCAGCGTAGCCGCGTACCTCTGCGTCAGAATCTCAAGGGCCTCGGTGAAGATGGGCGTCGTGGACGGCGTGTGCCGCGTCCGCGGGTGGATGGTGACCCAGTCGACGTTGCGGAACTGCGGGTGCCCGATGACGGTTTCGAGAAAATCAATCGTTTTCCTTTGTGTTTCTGCCGCGTTAGCAGGCCTTTGCAGCCTGTCAGATTCTGGGGGGAGAAGGGCAGTACCTCAGATCGTCGTGGACGCGGATCTTGACGCTGACGCTGCGGCCGCTCGCGCTCTCCATGTCGCTCTCCGCGGCGACGGCCCATCCGTCCTGGCGCAGGCGCTGCCTCGTCTCCGTCACCATGTCGCGCACAAGGGCTCTCTGGTCCATGAGCGCGGCGCCGAGGGTTTCCGCGCACGCCCACGACTGCGGGCATCCGCAGTTGAGGTCGACGCCTGACACGAACGGTGCGGCGAGCGACGATGCGCGTGCCAGCTCGAGGGGGTTGTTGGCGCCGAATTGGAGAATCGTGGGCGGTTGCGCCGCCGTAGTTGATATGGTGAGGTCTATCCCAGGGCAAAGGGGGGGTTAGTTATACGTGATGTGAGGGAGATGTAAAGAGACCGTACCGCTGTCGCGGGCAAATTCACTGCGGTTGAATTCCTTGGCTAGAATCATGGGCGTCCAGCAGAGATCCGTGCCGTACTGGTGAACCGTTTGTCTGAAGGCGAGCTGCGCTGGGGTCAGCATATTCGTGCCGGTTTTGCTCACAAGTGGCGAGTGTGAACTGTACCTTGCTGTAGCGCACCATTGGTGCACAGGCATAGATGAATCTGTCTTGTTTCCTTGCTGCGTCGAATATTTTGAGAGGACTACGAGGTGGGTTAGTTGTCGGTTTTCTGGAGAAGGGCTTTGGTTGAAGTTGAACTCACTGCGGCGTTGGGCCAGGGGACAGTGAGTCCCCCGTGACGGCCATGGCGGCGTTTCTGGTCTATGTTTTCTGTCTGGATTTTATCGCGGGTTGAGAGGAAATGAGGAAAGATGAGTGTTGGGGCCGAGTCTATGTATTCATGGTGAGAGACGTGGTTGTGTCATGAGTTGAAGTCTTCTCTGTAACGTCGGGTTTTTGGGATGCGCCAAAGCGGGACCGGCCGGTGCATGACTTATAATATGGCCCGCGCCACCCATTGAGTCAACATAGACGGGATGCAATGTCGTTTTTAAGGGTTGCGTCTTGATGCTTTTTTCGTCTATCCTTGAATTCGGGTCTTTATACATGGCAAAATGCAAAAATGCCGCACCAACGCGCCGCCCTGCAATGGATGAAAACACCACCATAGTTCACTATACGCAACTCATGACACAAGCTCAAATCATGTCCTCATGATATCAAATTCTCTGGCTCGGGCTCTTTCTCCCGCTCTCCTTCCCTCATAAACAGACTGTCCGCGTCCCCCTCCATCTCCGAAACCTCCCAGTCGCCTAATAACCTCTCTCTCTCGAAGACCACCTCGCGAAACCATTTCTTCTCCGCCACCATCTTCCTCGTCAATTGCATCTCCCGCTCGTCACACATATCCTTCATCCTCTCTGACTGGCTATACATGACCTCCTCCTTCATGATCTGTTCATCCTCTAGTTTCGCCTTGTACACCCCAATCTGCTGGTCCCTCCACCTCTGCCACGCCTCATGTCCCTTGTCCATCTTCCTCCTAAGCGGGATCATAGACTGTTCAATCTCCGCCTCAGCATTGGCTTTGCCGCTCCAGAAATCCTGCAGTTGCTCAAGATACGTTTGCTCAAGTTTCCGTTCGTGCGCGAGGCGCGCGGCGTACTCGCTCTTGAAGTTATTCTCTCGCGTTGACATCTTTTGCGAAATCTTTTGCAAAAGTTCAATTCGCTGCATTTCGTGATGCGCCGAGAGGTTGAGTTTCATGGCATCTGCTTCGTGGAGGAGCATCGCGGCACAGTCTTCTTGATACGACTCCAGCATGGCTTGTTGTAGTTCGTGTAGATCGTTGAGTCGCAGGCGCAGTTGTCGGAATTTCGATTCGACTTCTTTGCGGCGAATGCTTTCCAGGCGGATCCGTTCTTTTATTTGCTGCTGCCACCGTTCTTCTTCTAGCCGCGCCTGTTCGAGGCGTTCGAGCTCAGCGCGAGCGGCTTCTTCGCGCTCCAATTCTTCAATTTGCGCCAGGATGGCGCGGAGTTCTTCTGCTTCAGCCTGTTCCTTGAGGCGTCTTTTCTCGCGCCGAGCGTCGGCTGCCTCTTTGAGATCACGGAGCTGCTGCATTGTGCAGCGACATGTTTTCCAGCGTAGGCCACAGACATAGCAGAATTCAGTGCCGCATCGGCACGTCATGTGTTGGCATGCTTCTCTGTGCTCGACGAGCGCGTGGCAGTTGAAGCAGCGTTTCCAGCCTTCCTCTTCAGCTAGCGTGTTTGTGAGGTTCATGTCGTAGTCTTGAGGGCAGTCTTCGTTGCCGTGTGATGGGCCACGGCAGATGGTGCAGGTTAAATGGCCGCGTTCGCATTTCCCCTGGCGTTTGTTGAGTTTGATGTTCTTGGGTCGGATCCAGACACCGCACTCGGGCTGGCTGCAATACACACGCTCGCCCATGGGTAATTCCCACTCTGACGCCCGTTCTTGAAATGTCTTCTTCAAGTTGTCGGGTACGTGTTTGAGGACTAGTCGGAAGGGTATCTGGTTCAAGCAGCATTTCGGCGGCCACTGTTGCTCATTTTGCGTGGCTGCTGTGACGAGTCGGACGAAGCAGTCTTTGCAGTAGCTGTGGCATTGGACCCTGATCGCATCCTTAACAGGTATATCATCGAGGCAAGATACGCATTCTCTGATCCCAGTTAGCACGCTTACCTCCTCCCCTTGGCAGATACATAGCAGAAAAGCTTTACTGACACCTCTGGCTCTGGTGGCTTGGGAAGCTCAGCATCCTGAATAAACCCGGACTTCCTCAGTGCCATGAGCGCCTCCTGCGTCTTGGAATCCGTGTTGGCGATATCAACTTTACTCAGTCTCGCCTCCAACTTCTGCCTTAGCGCCTCCCTTGCACCACCCATCGCACTACTCTCACCCATCTCCAGCGTTCTGTGAAACAGCCTCCGGATAGCAAACCTCCTTCGACCCGCATCCTTGACAACAGTCACCTCGGTCGCTTTCCCGGCCGACGTGACCGACACGGTGCTAAAACAAGCCAAATTTGCACCGTTTAGAATCGTCGTAGGCGAGGCATCGGGTTCTATCGGTTTCTCTGGTGGTATGATGATGGGCAAATAAGGTTCGGGGGATTTGCCGTTCTTGCGAGCCTCTTCCTCAGCGGCTTGATGGCGTTCATCTTCAAGCTGCTTTTGGTGATCTTCTTGGACAACCCGGGCTTTGACATTGTCTATGGAGGCCGTTATGATGTCTTGAAGGATGAGGGAAGTGAAGTTTGGTGCCTTGCGAAGCACACCAGGTGGTTCGTATTTGTGCCAGTCAATGTCGCCGAGGTCAATGTCCGACATGTTGTCTGCTGACCATGGCGAGGCGTGGTCTTTGTCGCGCCATTCATCTTGTAGTACTTGAAGGGTTTCGAAGGGATTGTGGTATAATCCTGCGAGATCCTCGTCTATAAAGGACCCTGGCATGGGGCGTTGAGTGATGTCCATGATGTCAGAGTGCTTAAGCTGCACAGACAGGTCCTTTGTGCTAGGATACTGTACGCACACAGCACAACTTATAAACAGAAACGAGCAGTGTCAAACGTTTAAATAGGTCGGCCCCTTCCCCTTTCTTGACAGTGAACAGTTATCGCCATTCAATAATGAGGTACTGGCAGCGAGTTCAGAACGTGTTTCGTGCATGTTGACCCTTGACGCGGCGATGTACCGCCCCCGAGGCTCTTAACTTGTCTGGCATCCCTCCATCCTACCACCCGGTGCCTGCCCTAGCAGCTGGGTGAGGCTGCATGTCGAGAGCCGCAGTCCATCCCTGGCCCGCCATCGCGCTGGTGCTCCCCTCGAAACTCGTCTCAGCAAGGCCTCCTAGGTACCGTAATCAGCCTATGTACATCGCCCACCCAGGTCTGGAAATCCGTATGGACGGTTGGATGCACGTGGAGGCTGCCACCTGGTTGAAATGGACGTCCTGGTGTGCGGATTTGTGCAACGTGCAGAAGGAGGTGGAGTCTCGACATGGCAGCTTGAGAGCTGAACGCCAGGGCTGAACACCTAGCGCCCACCTGAGCCACCACCGATGCCGCAGGTTTAGGCATCTCTTGGTGAGTCTTGTTGGCTGTCTGGTTGCTATCTCTCAGGCCCTCGAGCTGTTTCCCACACATCATGCTTCCAGCGTGGATCGGGGGTTGTGCTGCGTGCCTGGGCCTCGAAAATAGAACCAGAGGCGCCTCATGCGACAGGCCAAGCTATGCCTGTCTTGATGTTTAAGCGTCTAGCCGCATGCATTGCATGGCGGGAGCGCATCTGGAAATACAGGAACCTGTCAGGAATATGTAGAGTAACGGAGTGAGGCAACAGTATCCACGTGGGCAAATTGTACAAAGTGTGCAGCTGGTTATGTGATGGAATCCGGAAATGTAGGCATTTATGTCTATAACTGAATCTACAGCTTTGCCTCCAACTTTGCAAACTCAACCGTGTTTGTGCTTTGCATGATGCCCTGTTTAGCGAATGCGTTTTGGGTGCCGTTGTTGGTCGGAGAGCACTTACCAGGTTCCAACTTGTTCCATACCAACTTCAACGACATCCCCATCTTTGAGCCAAACCTGAGGATTCCTGCCCATCCCGACACCCGCAGGCCTGTTCCGAGTCAGATAAGGGTTTCAATATCATCTGAGATCGATCCAGAGTTACTCACGTTCCTGTGAAAATGATGTCCCCCGGCAGAAGTGTCACGCCACGACTCAGCAAGGAGACAGTCTTCCTTACTCCAAAAATCAAATCCGCAGTTGTTCCATTCTTAAAGCAATTAGCAGCTCCCCCATCACGTCAAGTCACTTAGGATGTACACACCTGGAGGATTTCGCCATTGACCTTGGTCCAAATCCTCAACTGGTGAGGGTCCTTTATCACTTCAGTGGTAACAATACCTGGGCCATAAGGAGCCCAGCCGTCGAATCCCTTGCCGTGCGACCACTGGCCTCCTCCTCGCTTGATCTGCCAATCTCGATGTGATACGTCGTTGCCTACGGAATACCCAAGAACATGATCAAGAGCCTCTGATTCGGAAACGTCGGTAGCTCTCTTTCCGATTACTATGACCAGCTCGCACTCGTAATCCAAGCCACTGCCCTCCTGGGCCACATGCGGAACGGGAATCGGGTCAGACGGGCCTGAGAGCGATGTAGCAGGCTTGTAGAAAAGAATTGGGTATTGGGGCTGGGGCATGTTTGTCTCTTTTGCGTGGTCGGCATAGTTTAAGCCAAGACATCGGACTGTCTTGACGTGGGCGGGATCCAAGGGTGGTAGCAAAAGACGAATGTCAGCCACTTGGTCTGTAACTTGATGCTGTCCGAATATATCACCGGTAACAATTCGAGCTCGCTTGGTTTTTGCGATGTCCACAACCCCTTTTGGTAGGATGGCATCACCATAGTACGTGCGGCCATCTCTGGCGAGGAAGCGAATAAGACGCTATTGAGCAACGAGTGTCAGGAATCAGGATCTCGGGAAGCGATGTCGGCGCAGTCAGCAGCGACCATGTGCAGCTTGCAACGGGAGGAGGGTGGTCTACACTCACTGAAAAGGCAGGCATGTTCAAGTTTCGAAAATGCAACTACAAGGCCGGAATGTTTGGTGTTGATGTTTGGTAGGCAATTGGTTGATATTTAAAAGCAACGGTGTTCGGGGGGTAAATGGATTATAAATGATGATGGCTTGGTTCAGAACCACATCGGGAAAGCAGTGCGTGCGAAATGGCACAACCGGCCGCGGAACTCCAACCACCAATATTTACAAAGTCAATACACTTTCAGTTGAATATCTCGTCGGCTTTGAACTGCAATCTTCCCACCGAAAGACCGGAGCCGTTTACATCGCCAGCCACACGTCGTCGTGTTTTTGTAGCTGCCGTCGGGATCCGCCGGGAAATGGCGTCGAGCATGAAGGCTTCGGGAGTCACTAATCCGTATCCGAAGAACGGTACGTACCTCTAAATTGCTAGCTTCCCATTGGCCAGATGCTCATTGCCTGCAGAAGCTCCAAGCAGCTCGGCTTTATGAATCCCTCTCCCGGATTCGGCGAGCTGCCAAATCAAACGCATCATTATAAACTCCAACCGTCACCACAATGCGCCTCTCCGGTCTCCAGAAAGAGGTTCTAGCTCTGTACCGCAGTTGCCTGCGTCAGAGCCGCAAGAAACCCGCGGTAGGTTATCCATTTGCCATCTCCCGACATTGAACGCTGTCGCCCAAGCTTTGCTACTGACGCATGAAAGAGCACTCGAGCTCATTTTGAGCAATTCGCAAGGTAGGCGCACAGCAAAGAAACATTGCATACATGGTTGCAAAAATATTCCTGACACACTGTCCGTGATTAGGGCCGAGTTTGATCGCAATTTAAGGATAGAAAAGCGCGATTTTGCCGCCATTGAGTTTCTACTTCGCAAGGGTCGGAGGCAGCTTGACGTCTACTCCAATCCTGGCATCAAGGATATCAGGTGAAAGCAGAACATGCAGATGCCAAACACATGGTTAATTACACTACCACTTGCCTGTTTCTTCCTGAAGAAAGAGCCCACAACTTGACCCTGCTACTCCGCCTCTCTCGTTCTCGACGTTTCCTGGCCGTCGCCATGTTTCGCGCTCCAGCATCCACCAAGGCCGCGTCGTGGACGAGGTGTTCTCATCATGCCTTAGTAGCTATCGAGCAGCACATCTCGTTCATCGCAGTACCTCATAACCATTACTTGGTCTAACTTTCTTGGATAGCCTCTGTTGGAAACGTTGCTTCCACCATCTTGCCATCATCGTGCTCGCTGGCCGAGATGGTTCCTCTAGCATCTATCCCTGAGGCAAACAATTCATTACAAAGTACATTTGATACTCACCGTCCCCGCTCTCGTGTTGTATTCCTCTCTAGACGCCCTGGCCGGCCTCGCTGCTCTGTTCGCAAATCACCATTTGCAAAGCTCTTCAACCTCGGGCCACCAAAGCATGTCGGGAAGCAAGATTATCTCCGAGACAAGGATCGACAAGGGCACAAAGACGCATCTCCTAGCTCGTTGGGCAAAAAAGGAGCATCACCCACATGGATAAAGACGTCATACGACATAAGCCCAGACATTCGACAACAGCTACACAAATCCGAATCTCCATTCGACCTGAATTCTTTTCCTGAGCCACCCTCTACCAGCAAAGTTGTGGGACCTGACAAACCTAATCCTCATCCTTCCACGCATCCTGTAATTCAACATGCAGCGCCAAAGCCTCCATTGGAGTTGTCACAGCGCAAACTTCTGGTTCCAGGCCAGCGAGGACCGGCCAACATTCGCCACAGTCTGATGGATGCTGCCTCGGATTTTGCCAACCCTTCAAGGCGCCAGTCTGTTGATTCCGCACTTGTAGCGGCAGTATCTCGAAGCATTGCTCAGCAGCTTCAGCTGATCTCAAAATATTCAGGCAGAAACTCACCCCACAACGACAACACATCACGCACATCCAGCCAACGCTATGCCTTGAATGGTTTCACTAGAGATCTCGAGGCTTACGCAAATCAGACAGGTGCAAAGGGAAAGACTGTGATAAATACTACAATCACCCCGCCGATAGACGCCGCAACGCTTCATACAGTCTCAGAACTCCTCCCGTTTCGTCCCCAGCTTCGGGCGGCAGGGCTCGCTGTGACGTCAAAAGAGCAAGCCCGAGGCGTGCCTCATTATTTGCAGCAGCTGCAGCCAGGTCTACCGCCACCTCCGTTACGTCGACAGCGTGGCCATGGTCGTCCACCTGCACAATTGGACGGATATAATGGTTCTGGTCCATCCCAAAGCCCTGGTACGGAAATATCTTTTGCACAGTCACAGGATATAGATGAGTTCAGATACGCACTTATTGACGAAGTCCCACCTCGGAAGAAGAAACATCGACTGCGGAAGAAGCGGCCAACTCGGCGCTGTCTTCCTTGCTTCCCGGTTGAAGACGACCTGACAACGGATCCTGATTGGACTCACTTTAGGGTTCCTTCAGCGAAACCCAGGGTACTCGAAAAGAAACCAGTCAAAGAATTGAGACAAAATCGACCTGCCAAGGTGCACCCGCCTGGATACTTGGCCCAGGAGCACGTTGGCTCCGATTCTCACAGCCCTTATCAAAAACCAACTGCACAAGAGGCAGGAAGCACGGCTGTGGACGAGACGACATACCAATGGGACAGGCCAAATTTCATCACCACAGGGCGGAGACATTCCATGACTATGCCAAAACCCAAAGTCCGTAACGAGGAATGTTGTGTTGGGCATCGGCATATGCATGGAAGAGACTCGCAACATCGAGTTGGAAAGGATTCTACGGCGGTTCTGAACAATAATAACAGGCTATATACAGGAAATAGTATCAGAAATTCACGTCAGGTTGGTCGCGTTCCAAAGATTGAGCCACAGCCAACCTTGTCGGCAAAGCCCTCTCAACCCCAACACAATCAGCAAGTCGAAACACAGATTGACGGGCAGCAAAGGAGAGGCACGGATGTAGATCCACGCCCGCCTCGCCAAAGACCGCCCCAGACCAGGCGCAGTAAAAAAAAGCAGCCCGTTTCTCAATATGATCCTCGTCATATTGGCATATGCTGCCCTTCAAGCCGGGGTGTCCCAGCCAAGCTAACCGCTCGGCCCAACATTCCCAGAAGGTCTTCATCGATTCAAGTCAGCGCAGACTCTATCGAAGTTGACTACGACGACCGAGAGATATCAGACCGCGACGTTCTTCGGGGTCTGCATGTTGCGGCTTCTGCTGCGTGTAATGAAGAGATTGATGCCTTTGTACGGAACAAAACTGGTCTTCGGATTCGTCGTTTTCTCGCTGACCTGATGGTACTGGAAACTCTTACTGCTTCCCGACCTGGGGAAGATAATGAACAACACGCCAGACGAAGGCGAATGGAGATGAGAAAGCTCAAGCAACAAGTTCGACGATCCCGAGAGATAGTCATGGCTGGTGGGCTTATTTGAGTGTGTATTGGATTTGCAATGGTCAATGAGGTTGCTTGCCAGAGGCTCTTGAAGAGGGGTAATTTTGTATGATTAACACTGTTTAGTGTATGCTAGTGCAACAAGGCTAAAATACTCGTTTCAAAACAAAGCAACAGAGTATAGAGCAAGTTGCTTAATAACTATGCTTCATATATTTGCAGCCTCCTGTTTCACCTGTTTCTCATTTGCAACTTTGACTAGTGGTTGATCAAGAACAACACCAGGTATAAGCAAGTCTTTAACTTCATATATTAAACACTAATACTTTTTTATTTCAAATCCATGACACATGATATAACTACTTGTCAACAACCATCAATTTAATTAGTCATGTACAACCTCCTATCTACCAGGAGATCCGAATACGCAGGGGAACTTGCGCCCAACCTTCTTCTCCAAGGAATTCAGCACCAGATTCCACACATTCAAATCATACGCCTCGCCGATATGACCGACGGGATCAAGGGGACAATAATCCTGCACGTAAATATTATTCACGCCCGGCTCACGGACGAAGGAAGTCTCGGTGGGCGTCACCAGCTCATCACTCCTTGACGTGATGACGGTCACGACGGTGCCCGGCTGCACAAAGGGCGATCCGTCGTTGAGTCTCTGGACGGCGGCACCACCAGTGACCAGGCCCGCGCAGGCCTTGCACCCAAAGGTCCCGAGAACGTCCTTGACGCCCCTCTCGGCGCCCAGCAGCTCGGCGAGTCTGTACAGGGCAGCGAAGGAGGTGCCGTGCGTTGGGGGGGCAATGGCGACAAGGGCGTCGACAATGTGCTCGACGCCGCCGAACTTGGTGGTGTAGAGGGCTTGGAATGCGCCCTCGGAGTGGCCGACGAGATCGACCTTGCGAGAGCCCGTGGCCTGGTGGACGTCGCGGATGAAGGGGGCGATTTGCGACGACGACTCCTCGACGGGCTTGAGGCCGCCGACGAGGGGGAAGCCGTCGTAGGCGCCGTAGGTGAGGGAGAAGGTGCAGAGGCCTTTTGTGCGAAGCCAGGCCTCGAGCAGGTTGAGGTCTTCGTAGTAGGTGGCGCCGAGGCCGTGGAGGAGCACGACGGCGTTGTGGCTGGATTTGCAGGAGAAGTCGTTGTGGGAGGCGGCTGAGGGTGAAGTTGAGGTTGTCGGGATGGCGCCGGCTGTGGCCGCCATGGCCAAGGCGGCGAGTGTGAAGCGCATCATGACACTAGTAAGTTACTAGAAGAAAATAACCCTTCTAACTGCTATTTAGGAAGCCAACCAGGTGTGATATTATACTATCCTCGGGAAGGGGAGGAAAGACGGAGAGATGTACAAAGATATACCCCCTTTCAACTCACGCGCCATCATCACGTTGGACACGGCAATGCGACAAGGAACAGGATATTCGGAGCACCTCGGCTCGTTCATACTGAATGCTGCTAAACAGCACTACTGCGTACGTAGCTGAGAATTAGGTCTCGTCGGTCCAAATGACCCTTTTCCAGTCATCTAGGGTCCAATGACGATGATCAATACACTATTGGAGACGAGCTGCTTTCATGGCCTTCGTCAATCCAGGTTTCCTCGTAGGCTTAGTTTTCCGATGTCCCAAAGACTTCAAGGTCCGGGATACCGTTGAGGCGGAGATTGGAATGCCCTGGCCGCTAAGGTCACCGGCGATATCAGCAGTTGACTTTTCCCTTCCGTATCTATCGGTGCTAGCCTTCTTGATAATTTGCTCTTGAATTTCCCGGTTTTTGACCTTATTAGGGCGGCCGCTGCGAGACTTTGGTTGTAGGTATCTATCTTCAATCTTGAAAGGCCGAAGGGTCGGGTTAAAGCCTCTTTCAATCGCTTCCCGAATAATTCGTCGAATAGACCTCTCAGAGACTTGAAATAATTCGGTTATTCGTAATATCGAATATTCGGTTTCAAAATGAAGAGCCAAGATAGCTGCTTTTACTCCTAGAGAGATTTGGGCCATTTGAAAGCTTCAGAATCAAGCTGCAAAAAAAGGCTGCAAAGTCGGGCTTGAAAGGGCCTTCAAAATCGAGCTGCAAAATCGAGGGTTTTCGAAAAGGAAAGTTCAAAAAAGGGGTCAGCCATCATCTCGGTCAAATTTGTATTGTAATTTGGTGCAACTATTACCTTGCAGCTGGCGCCCCACTTTAATTGAGAAAACAAGAGGCTTTGTGTAACGACGTTGAATTGTGTAACAGCAGGACTAGCGACTGATGCGTGTTTAGTTGCCCCGGTTCTCTGGGCAGGGTGCGTTGTTGTTCTGACACGGCATCAGTATTGGAAGTGACTTGTTATTTTCAGTCACAAGTGCAATGCTCTCCATGAACCCGTTTCGCCGGCCGTCGAGACAGCAGGTCAACTGGGCTGGCTGAGGTCTCAGATGTTTGGCAAATACAGTCGGCATGGGATTTTCAAAATTGTGAATGCAAAGGTACGAACTTGCTCTGAGCTTGAAAAGCTCGGCGTGGAGGTGACTCGCTTCCTTTGTGCTTTGGCAACTCACCGCTCCGTAGCCTTGGCCCGTCTCCCATCGGCAATTTAGCTGCTGCTACGCGTCTTGCGTACGAAGAGTATTCACTGCGTGGTTGCCATTGGCAAATGCAAAAAGGAAAAAAGAAGGGAAGGTCATGTCAAAAAAAACAGCGGTGCTTGTCAGAAATTTTTTGTGAGACATGAATTTCGCAGAACCGAATAAACGTACGGAGTAGGCAGGTAGGTCATGACGATACCATTCTGTTGAGAGACGGGAGAGGATTTTGAGTGCCAGGGTTGGATCAGATACATGGCCATTTGATTTGATTTTGTCGTGGTATTCTTAGGAGTCGAAACCCCCATACAGAGAGGTCCTCTTTGTCGATTCACGGCGCCGTTCAAGGCCATGGTGACACACTCGTACTTTGTTGCAAGCCGTCGCGGGCAGCTTATAGCGCTTTGACGGATGGCTGTCACCGCCAGGGATGGTGAATTGTCTGTCTATTCGGGTAAAATAGAGCTCGTCACAGTCCACTAATGACACGCACGCGGTCATCACAGGCATCCCCGGAGGCTTCTGGATGACAGTTATCCGCAGCCCTTATTCTCGGAGGCTAATATCACTATTACACTGGCGTACTGACATATCGTACTCAACAGCAGCTGCTATGCAATCCAGCAATGGTGTCAGTCTTTCCCGCCTCATTGTTCATGATAGTCATGGTGCATCATGTCCGTGGCTAAACCAAAACGGTTTCACAAAGCACAAAGGGAAAAACGCCCCGAGTCCGACAACACGAAAAAAAACAACCAACAATGCGCAGCACAGTTGCCAACTAGTGCAACTACGCAGAACTTTGTTATTTGAGGAAGTGAGCAAAAAATATTGTCTGATGAGACTGGGACTCGAACCCAGGAGGATTGCTCCATCAGGACACAGGGTGTTAAGGTAACCTTAACCTGACGCCATAACCAACTCGGCCATCTCACCAATTGCTTGTTGAATCACGTGCTATAATATTGGTATATACACGTAGTGTCGGCGATTGACTGGTTCTACTACTTACTGTTGTCTGTAGATATGTGTTTGTATTCACGTAGTTTCGTCCGCTCCCTTCACTTTTATTGATGATACTAATGATCAGAGTTGGCTGAATAAATGGAACTGCAATGGTAGCAGAGCGTTTGCATTCACAAGCACTGGGTTGACGTTCAAAGTGGCTGAATACCAAGCATCAAGGGCCGCCGGCAAGAATAGCATCTGCCGGGGTTGATGCACACGATACACCAGAGTTCCTGCTCGATGAATCGCCGGAGCATCTACTAATATGCATCACCGCCTGCGATAGCATAGAGATGATTCTCGCATGCCAACAGGCTGCGACTCGTCGGGGGGATATCGTGGCCTCCCGCTTTAGGGTAGGTAACTGCTCTCCAGTGCCCATTTACTCTGTAAAAGCTGTCTTGAAAATAATGCTGTCAAGACGCTTCGCATTCGACTAGTTCCAAGTTATGTTGTAGCATGATCTTAAACACTGACTTTTCCGACCGAACCTTATTCCTTTGGTGCTGTCAAGCATAGCGAACGGCCTCGAGCAATGATGACCAGACCGGGAGTTGGCAGATATAGTTTTTTGCACTTTGCCTTCCCCGCACAGCCCGAATGTGTCAGCAGCACTGAAGCAGCACTTCCGGAGCTCCCACGTTCTTTGTCACTTCCAATGTTAATGTCTTAATCAAAGCTAGACGCGAGATTCTGGGGCCTGATTAATTAATATCATTATATCATATTGGCCAAAACCTTACTTCACTGATCCTGACCATGACATCGCCGTTTCAAGCATCCGATATCACTGCTTTCCGCAGCAATTTCACTACTGCAGAGAGTGGCCAAGATCACCTACTTCGGTGTTGGGCACACAAAACATGTGGCGGGTGTTTAAATTCGTACCAATGCAGTTGGTGTCCATATGTGAGTGCGGCGGTCATTTCTCCTCTGCATCATTCACAACCATAAGCTTATAAAATGTAGACTTGGGCATGCATCCCCAACTCATACAGAGTCCCGCTCTTGGCACCAGTGTACAATGAGCGAATCTGCCCTCATCAGATAGAGCGATGGGAGGTGCGCACCCACCCATTTGGGTGCCATGTGTCGACTATAACGAGCTTGACGGCCATTTTTTCCGTAGTGGCAACTTTAATACTCGTCATCATAGTGCTCCTCGCCATGGTTTTGATCCGGCGAGTCCGGCAATACTCCAAGCAACATCCCTCCTGGATGCAGCATTGGACGCAACACCAGCGTACACATGAGCAACCCGACAATTTACCACAGGAGCGGGATCCTCTGCTTTTCTGGCAAGGGGCAAGCCAGGCAGAAGGCGCCTAGGCGTCGCCCTGCAGGAATCATCAGCCCATATTCCAGAGCGACGCTCGGCTCCAAGGCAGTGCACGCGGACCCAATAACACGACACACAGATTTAATGTCCATCAACAAATTCTGATTATCAACCAGAGCTGACCGGAGGTATGATGGCAACCTCATCAGCCTCTTGAATCACGGGCCCATTCGCATCGCCGGCATCGGGAACATCTACGTAGTCGAGGTTGAGAGTAACGAGGCAAGAGTCCAAAATCTTGGCCTGGATGCCAGGATACTTAGACTCGAGCTCGGCAAAGAGTTTGCTCAGGTGCAAGGGTGCGGGCCAAGCCTCCTCGTCTTTGCCAGTAAATGAGCTGGCACCAGCGAAATAAAGCACCCGAAATTGGCCCTGGGGAGGCTTGGGTATCGAAGTCATCATTGTATGTAGAGTATGTGCGTCCTATATTGCAATTACGGCGTTAGTAACCAGCTCGGTCAAAAATTAATCATTTGAGAAAGAGAAAGGTAATGGCCTGAGTCAGAGATCTTGGTGATAAAAAGTACATCAAAGAGTATTCAGGTAATACATGCTATTGAAGCATCATTTCAGGCACCCTAAAAAAAACAATAGTACATGCAGACGTGACTTACCAAAAAAATAATACAGCATACTTTGTATTTATATACAAACGCAATGGCAGTTCGTCCAGCGAATTTGCGTGAGAAAAATAAAAGTTGGCGGAGGAGAAGCTCAAAAGCGGAATTAAATGCAGCCCGAAAAGACCCGCCACGTGACTATTATTCTACTAGCAGCTAGCGGCACCGCCCGCCGAGTTGAGCGGTGGAGTCCATGGCAACGACATGAACAAAGCAAAAATGCGACTTTGTGATTATTGGGTATCATTGTGCAAGATGAATGAGTAGAAAATTTAGGACAATTTAGCCATTCGTTCTTGCAGGTCTTTCAGCCAACCTTCCATGACTTTCATGTTGCTCTTCACTGTAACATCACCGTCTGTCATGGCGTTTTCCATCTTCTCAAGGCCTTCCTTCCACTGCTTCAACTCCTCCGTCATTTCAGCTTGCTGTGTTTCAATCCGCTCGAGAGTTTGGCTTGCGGTTGCGGCATCAGCGTGGATCGCACGAAGTGATCGCAGACGGTCCAGCAACGGAGGCAGCATAGGCGTGAGGTTCTCAATTGTGGGCAGAATCCCATACAGTGCATTGATCTTGGATTCTTGTTCCGACGCATCAGTCGATGATTGACCTTGCTTGCCGAGTTCTTCCCTCAGTGCCTTGGCCTTTTCCCGGGACTCGTTGAGCTTATCTTGCTCAGACGCCAAGGTTCGCACGCGCCGTGTAATAGCATCTAGGTTCGAGGTCGACGCCTGGGCCAGAGTTGAAATTTGCTTTTCCATATTATCTAGAGTGGGCAATATAGCCCTTGGCAGTCCATTTGCACCGGCTTCAGATAGTGATGACGCGCTGATTCCAAGGGTTTTCTCCAACATGAGCAGCCGTCGGTCAAAATCTGCAGCCTTGGCAAGAGCATGGCTCTGTTCGTAAGTTGGTGCGTAGGTGACGGTATATGTAGGGCCATCACCTGCAGGGACTTCGGGCTTGCTGGTCGACGATGGGAAATGTGCCTTTGCCATGCCACGGGAGGTCTCGAGACCGGGAGGTTTGGCTATATCATCAAGGACTTGACTTAAAGTATCCAGTCTTTCGTTTGAAAGGACTTTGCCTTCAGCTTCTGCTGCAGCTGCTGCAGTGGCGGCTTTACGCCTTGCATATTCCTCCTTCGCCTCCTCGACCTCTCTCTTAAGCCGTGCAATCCTCCTTTCCAAGCCCTCGTCATCGTCATCGTCGGACAGGTCGCCAAGTTCATATGTGCCATCTTCTAGTATGCGCTGGCGTCGACTGGATGCCTTGTATGATTTTCGTTTCCCATCCACCCGATCTGAGAAGTCTACCCCGTTGGCGTCGACGTTGGCGGGCAAGAAACGTGAGCGGGCCTCGTCGATGCGCAATCTGGTTCTCGAAATACCGTGGCTGTCTTCGTCTTCGTCAACATCGTAGAATTCGTCATCGGACTGTGCCCTATTCGCAGTAGTCTGCACGTAGATAAGCAGCGGAATACTACAAAGGATCATCAGGGGGCAACACACGGGCACGGTGGAGTTGTCATCAGTTAATTCAGGTGTCTCGTAAACGTCTGGGGCCGAATCCTATCATTCAATGAGCATTGTCAAACACCGAGTTGCTGGTTGATTTCAAGGGCGGTTTACCAGATCAGGCAAAGCCGCATATTTGCGATTGAGTGTCGCCATCGAGGTGGCTTGTCTGGATTGACGATTGGAGATTCGGCTGATGTGACGCGTTATAGGGCCGCCTTACCACGGAGCGGAAAGCTTTGTTCTGCAGAGCTGAAAAACTCCAGTCGAATATCGACTACGTATCTAGGTGGGTATCTGGCGACCTGTTGTTGTCTTCCGTCGGTACGGCCGTGGTTTGTGACACAGAGGTGAGTGAGTACTAGTGAGTCCAGGGGCTCCACCGCCAATGGCAGCTGTCCATGTGCAGTCATTCAAATGGCCTGGGTGGCTAAATGTTTGGTCGCGTCCCCCAGTTTCAGGCACGCGCCAACCTCATCCAATGCCAGACCGGCAGATGAAAAGATGTTTGGATTGCAGCATCTTGACCCCTACGGAGCATGCCAGAATACTTGCAATTAATTTGTACCTTGTCCGAGCTGAACGTTTCGTTTCTAACCAACGACATCACTCCATATCCAACGACCTCGCCCCCGGTATTAGGCTGGATAGCTCGCATTCAAGCTCTCTTGCCTCCGTCTTTGGAGTTGCCTGCCATCGTGGCTGACAACACTGCCAGCATGCTAAAGTAAGGTGCTGAACGTATTGTAAAGGCACTCTGACCCTCTGCGTCAGTGACAGGCCGATTAGTTTCATTTCCCGACATCTAGCTTCTAGGCAGACATGATGCCAGTTCTCAACAATCGACGAGGATCCAAAATGCCTGGAAGGATAGTTGGTCTGAGCAAGCGTGATGCAACTACTCCTCTCCTGTCCAATTTCAGGGACGGACCAAAACAAAAGGTGGCCAAGAATGTTGACGATCCTCCGGTTTCTAGCGATGACGAGGACGAAGATAGTACTCTTGGAACTGACATTCCTACGAACGCAATGAGTCAAAGCAAATCGCCCGTCAAAGGCAGTCAAACCAGCAGGGCGCGAAATATGAAAACCTTGCTCTCTTTTGTTGACAGCTCGGATAGTTCTGGGGAGGGAGATGAACGAGCAGTGCGCGCGAGCATCAAAAGCACCAGCTTTGGTACGCCGCGACAAACCCGAAGCAAGAGAAAGGATTCCCCCATCGAACAAGCAGAGAACTCGGAAGATTTAGACAGCAAAAGACGCAAAACGGGTGTAGCTCCTCAGCGTACTCAACGCAAAGAACCTGGGAACACGCCGCCGACCAGCTCAGGAGAACATTTGAAAGACAAACTAGGATTTACAAAAACGAGGAAACCCAAAGCCACATACAAGAAAAAAGGGCAGAGCTCACAGGAACAGCCAGTTTGGAAAGCTTCAGCAGAAAGCCGAGTAATTTCTCGGTCGATTACTTCCGCCGAAACAGGGAAGAAGAAAGAGCCGGCCAAGTTACAGGTGCCCTCTTTGTTGCAGAGCCCCGAAAGACCAAAAATGGACAGACTTCGGTTGCCTTCAGGCTCTATACCTTCATCGCCTCCTAGCAAGCCTACATTCAAGCTGTCGAACTCAACTAAATCATCACAAGAGTCTACTGGTAGCAGGCGGCAGAAAAAATCGGAGAAGTTAAAAGTAATAAAAAGGTCTCCATCTCCGCCTCCTGCAGTTTTCAAAATGCCCGTATCAATATCAGACTTACAACTTCGATCGCCGAGGAAAGGCAAAATGGAAGATCCATTAACAGACGACTCTTCGGACATGGAGAACCAAGATGGACAGGCTGAAAAACCAAGAGCGGACGATGGAATCAAAAGTGTGGAAGCAGCAACGGTGTGTCCTTGGTGCGGAGAACCTGTCGATAAGAAGTTGCTTGACGATTTTGCCAACGGTAGACGTTTAAATGTGCGGCTACAGAGCAAATTTTGCCAGAAACACAAGAAAGAAACAGCTGAGGAACTCTGGCAGCAGAAGAGCTATCCAGCAGTCCAGTGGGATGGGCTGGAAGACCGATTCGAAAAATATCATAAATTGTTGCTTGGTGTCATAAACGGAGGAGCCTCGCACTTCCGTTCCATTCATGAAAAGAACATTTTATATGGCAAAGCGAGGTCCATGAAGAAAGAAGACAACATGGTTCCAGGATACTACGGACCACGCGGGTTCAACCTGATGTGTGACTATTTGGTTAACGAATTTAGCGAGTTGCTGAAGGAGAAAGCAGTGGATGACCGGGTCATTGCTGGCCGTGGATCCGCAGCCTTCATTCAGACCGTGCTCGTGGCCGAGTTGGCAGTGCGCTTGATTATGGAAGACATGGAGGTTGCTGAAGAGGAAGCCAGGGTTATCCTGGACGAGAGCAAGGCTTTGGGTGAAATGATTCATGGAGAGACATGATTTTGATGTATAACTGAGCGAGGGCGACTTGTGTGCCTACACTTTACGTGTAAAAACTTCAAGGACAGCGCTATATTTGTGTTGGCTAAACAAAACGGGCTGTCTACCAAGCTCATCGCCGTCTTTGGTCATGCCCGAGAAGTGGAATTCATGTCTAGTCGCGGCGTCTATATAAATAAATGGCATTCTGTACATTCAAAGAAGTAAAGCAATGGCCTCACAAGGACCCATCTGAATCTCTCCAGCACGCACGTCACCAATCTGTTTTCCAGTTGGGCTCACTAGCACCTCGCGAGCTTCAAAACCACTCGACCACACTACTTTGTCCGTGGAGAAGTTGCACACAACAAGTGCAGCGTCCCCATTGCCAGCAACCCTCTTGTACGCAAATATCTTGTCGTTTTGCTCGTCAACAAGCTCAAAGTCTCCATAGACAAAAATATCCACGTGCTCCTTGCGCTTCTCCAGCACCCGTCGATAAGTATGATACACCGACTGAGGGTCCTTCACCTGAGACGCGGCGTTGATGTCCTTGTAATTATCATTCACGCGCATCCATGGAGAAGACGAGGTCGTAAAACCGGCCTGCGCAGAGTCATCCCACTGCATTGGCGTGCGGGCATTGTCCCTCGACTTCTTTTGATACTCCTCCCTGAGCAGTGTCTTGGTGCTGTCGTCCACCGTGTCTTTGAATAACCTGTACACTGTTAGCAATTTCTTCCTCCTTCCCCCCTTCTCCCCCCTTTTTTTTGTGCCGGTGGTGGGGAAAGGGCTTGAAGGGATATAACCTACTTCCAGTGATTCAAGCAATCTATATCCTTGTACTCATCCATCCCCCACTCCTTGGGGACATTCGTCATGCCAATTTCCTGCCCCTGATAGATGAACGGCGTGCCAGCCTGAAACGCTAGGAATATAGCAATCAGCTTGGCGCTGGCTACTCTATGTTCTGGCGCGTCGTGGACGAAGCGGCTCACGGCGCGGGGTTGGTCGTGGTTCTCCAGGTAGAGGGCGTTCCAACCATTGTTGTCGTACATGAAGCGCTGCCATTTGTTGACCTTGGATTTGAGTGTTGAGAGGGTCCATGTTGCCGGAGAGAACTTGCCGTTTACACCGTGGTCGATGTCCATTCTATGCTTGGTCAATACGGTTCCAAGGTAGGCATTCAAAAGATGTATTTGGGAGGCGGAAGGGGGGATTTCATGGTTCCGCATAGACGTACAGTTCAAAGTGGAAAATCATGCTCAGTTCCCCTCGATCAGCAGCCACGGCTCTAACCAGCTCCTTCTCGTCGTGCACACATGGCATTTCACCGACACTGAAGGCGTCGTATTCTTTGAGAATGGCACCCAGTTCCTTTAGGTACTCGTGGAGCCGTGGCCCGCAGGCGTAGTGCTCCGTCCCGCCGAGGACCGTTTTATTCGAATCAGGGAACGACTGGTCTTTGCTGATGAAGTTGATGACGTCGATGCGGAAGCCGTCTGCGCCGCGATCGAGCCAGAAGCGCATCACGTCGTGGGCGGCTCGGCGGACAGCTGGGTTTTCCCAGTTAAGATCTGGCTGTTGTTTGCAGAAGAGTCGGAGGTAGTATTCATCTGTTGTTTCGTCGTATTCCCAGGCGCTTCCTTTTGTTTTTTTAACACGAAAATATTTTAGTTTTTTGAGACCTCTCTCTCTTGTTTTTTTTCCCGGGCTGGGTTCGAAGAGGGAGAGAAGATACCTTGGAAGTGACTCTGCCAGTTATTAGGGGGGCATCGATTGCCCTGCTCATCGTACCTGGGTGGCTTCCAGATGTACCAGTTTCTGTACGGGTTATCCTTGGACTTTCTCGACTCCTTGAACCACTCGTGTTCGTCGCTGGTGTGGTTCATGACGAGGTCGAGGACGAGTTTCATGCCTCGCTCGTGGAGGGCGTCGCGGAGGACATCTACGTCGGTGATGTCGCCGTAGGGAGGGTCGATTACTCTATAGTCGCTGATATCATAGCCCTTTTGTTTTTTGTAATGGATTGTCAGTTATAAATTGCACTTTTGCTCTCCTCATGCTGCGTGGGCGGAGCCGTAGTGGCGATGGCAAAGTCGAACCATGTCATGCTGGGGACTCTTGAAAATCGGCGACAGCCAGACAATGTCCACTCCCAGTTCCTTCAAATAATCAACCCGTGATATGATGCCCTTCAGGTCACCGACTCCCGAGCCGGTAGAATCTTGGAACGACGCTGGGTACACTTGGTATACGGAGCCCTCTTTCCACCACGCCCTCTGCGGTTCGGATATACTGCCCATTTTTCTGTTCAATTGTTTCCACAAGAGACAAGGAGACTGAGGATAGCCTGTATTTGTAGACGGCGTTGTTGTTATTTTCCAGCCGGTATGGGGACCATGAATTTGGGGAGAGATATACTCCGTATGTCGTTCACGAATGCCGGTCCGACATGCGGGGCACTTGATGGCGGGGGAAAGTCATGTTTGAGGGATCGTTTGGCTTTGTGGAGGCGCTATGCCATTAAATCGGGTTTTGGATGGATTATGTGTAACCGTAGACCTGGTACTATCATCCTTCATTGGATAGTTCCGAAGATCTGGGAACGGTGAGGTGCAGAAGTGTACAGTGAGAGAGAGGGTGCAACACGATGTGGTGTGGAGACGCGGCTGAACAAAGATACGGGGGTTTCTCATCACCTCGATATCCTAAGCGACGGAGAGTAGGCAGCGGAGAAAAACTGGCTCGACAAAGGCCTGTTTACCATTCTTTGGATACTTGTTTCGCTTTCATGTCAATTAATCCAATCCGGGCAGATCAGCCAAGCCCAAAGTCCCATGCGTGGATTGAGGCGCAAGATACGGGGGTACATGAGAACATGCAATGCGACTACGTACGTATTTGTAGCTTCACGACCTCGCATAGTACACGGATGCAGTCGCTTATTCATCTAAAATATATATGACTACTACCTAGGTGCTCAGTAGGTAGGAATATCAACAAGAACAGTTGTACCCCGTACCATCACCCATAAAAAGGAAGCATCCCACGCCGTCACATGCCCCCAAGCCTCTCAGTCAACCCTCACAAAAAGCAACCAACGTCCTCCCTCTCGGGGTATTTGAAATACAATCGGCAACCGTACGCAGGATCCATACATGGAATGTCTCAAGCAAAGCAGCATCGGTGCCCAAAGGCCACGGTGCTTCGGGCAACTCAAGGTAGCTACTAGCTGGCGTCAGTGAATGAAGGAAGCTCAAGCCTCTTGGCAACGCATGTTGGGTCACGGCTTTGTGGAGAGATGTGATGGACGGTTTGTTGGCGGCGTCAAGTTGCGTGGGATACAATAATGCCCACAAACCCTCGCAAAGGCATATTTGCCAACAGTCACGTCTACACCGCGGTGCTGCAGTGTAATGGCATTGGGCAGAGTGCCGTGTGCCAATACATAGATGCTTGCGGGTTTGGGCGTGGCGTGGCGTGCGTTGTGGTACGTACTTTGTACGGAGTAGACAAAGACCCGCGGGTAATAAGCTTGCATCAAAATGATGGTAACCACCGGCGAGATTGGCGACATGCATTATGAATTATGATGTGTCGGCCAACTAGAGAGACATGTTTATTTTGCCCCAGACAGTCCGACAGTTTGGCGGACGGCTAGCGTTGAGAGAGACATTTGGGTCAATGCCAAGAATAGCTGGTGTTTGCGAGCGATGAAAAAAAAGCGGCAGAAATTTGGAATGATGTGATTTAATATTGTATCAGCTCGGCCGTGCCTGGATTGACGGCAACTTCCGCAGAAGTCTTGAAATGCATCGGCGATATTGTTATATTGGCAGCCATTTGGCTGTGAGCAGAAAGCCAATTTAAAATGTGCAACGGTACGCGGTGCGGAGTACATTTATGGGGCAAATTGTTTGCGGTCCGAGAAGCGGAGCCAGGCCAGCGGCTGCGGGAGACAAATGCACAGGTCACCTCGCGGCCACGGCGTAACGTGACCCACGCTCCACGGACCCAGAGGCCCCTCATAGGCCCAGTTGACCCATTGGCCCGTTGACGTGTGGCCAATGATCCAACCATCTTGCCATCCGACCCGACCTCTAGGCAGTTCCTGCCCCATGTCGCTCACGCTAGCATTTAATTACCTTTTTGATGTCTAGTCGTTGCAACTACGGCAAATCTTCAAGGCCTGCGCACGACCGATGGGAGATCCATGATGATAATACATAACAAAAAAAAAAGATACACATGTTCAATCATTACCGGGAGTCGCGGCGTGCCATGAAGAAAATCTGTGGATAACATATTGTACAACCATGGCGTAACATGCCACGGTTGCGCGACTGCCGGGTATTAGCCCATCCATGCCTGGCCGAGACGTGGCTCGTCGGAAGACACACCCCCGTGCTTTTTGGTTCAACTGATACTCGCAAGACGCGTCAACAACACAATCTTGTCTGAGCTCCGTGTCCAACACCCAGAGGTTTGGACTTTGCTCGAGTTGTTTCACAGCGGACTCGGACACGAGTGGTGTCGTTGATCGCCATGGGGTTATGGAACGAGACTCGGATAAGAAACACAATGTCCTTTGTGCTTTGTTGCTTTGTTCAAAAAAACCTTAATAATGGCAGGAAAGAATACATGGTGGGCAGCTTCGCGATGAGTTGGGTTGAAGGCTGGTGCTCGGGGAGTCGTGACTTTTAGCGCCTTGTCAAAGTTCAAAGCCCAAGGCTTATTTTGAAACACGGTGTCTCGACATATCAGAGTCTTGATGGAGGATGCGACATCTCGGCCAGGGACGTTTGGATGGATGGATGGATATTAGATGGCCAGACGAGACCATCCAGAGTCCTCCGCAGCACGCAGCAGGCCAAATTGCAGCAAGTCAACTATACATGACGGCATCAGGCATTCGGCATCCGACGTACGTGGCCGACATCCAATGATACAACTCGGGCGCCCAAGAAGGCGCAAGTCTAGTTGGCGGTGCTGGGTAGTTATTCGGTGTGCGGATTTGGACCAAGTGATGGGTGCAGTGCTCCATCTGCTGGCCTGTCGATGGTCCATTTGAATGCTGGCAGTCCGAGGAGCCAGCGAGCCGCGACCCAGCCAGCCCTTGCGGCGAGATGCTTGCCAGGCTGGAGACGAGGGACTAGTAATATTGCAAAGTCATTATAAAAAAAAAAGAAGAAAGGAAAAAAGACCCTGAGGAGAGGCGGCTCCCAAGTACTAGAGAGAACAGACTGGCACTTTGCTCGAGGGAGCACCTGGCAAATCTGGCAGCCTGGGCGTCATCAAACTTCGAAGTTTGGTCGCTCGTACTGTGTACTATGCACCGTACCTCAGTACTCCAGGACTCCGTACTCGGTATACCCAAGGTGACTGCTGCCGTACCTGAGCAGGTATCTGAATACCTAATCCGTACTCTGTACTTGTCGCCAAAAGGCTCCATCGCGCCGGGCGCCACCAGCTGCCATGCTCCATGATTCCATGCCTTGATGGCTCTATGGCTCTGTGGTTCCATGGCTCCATCTATAGCTCCATGTCAACTGTCTGGTGGGCAACTGAGTCTCCCGTCGGGTCGCAGTTAGTGCCGCGTCCGCAGCCTCACCACTTCCTTGGTGTGTGAGCTTTCGCCTCCAGCCCACTCAAGCGTCAGTCAACTGGTCGTCTTCATCCAGCTCCGCTCCATTTGATCGTCTCGTTACTTCACGGGCACTTGAGCTTTCCACGCCAAACCTCAACCCGCGCACCACAGCCTTTTTCTCCGCGTCACATCATACCGCCCCCTCTTTGCTGGAGCTGCCGCGACTCCCTTGGCACGGTGTTCGACAATCGAGCTCTAACCCATCCACGAGACCTTTGCCCGTCTTTGCCGCTGCGTGTGTGAGCTCAGAACCACCAAACCAACAACCCCGATACCCTTGACAGACCGCCAACCCCAACCGCAGTTCGTGCCCCGGATGTCGCTCAGGACATGAATGCGCCCAGACCTGAATACACCTTCCTGAGGACATGGCCGACGCTTGCGCAAGCACGGCCTGCCGACAATGACGGACAATGAGGCTGTCTCCCGCATCAGCTCGTATACGAGCGCGAGCGCGAGCACCGATAGCAGCACTCGATCTTCCCTGACGGCAATGCCCTCGACGCCGCCCCTGGCTTCTATGAGCGCGCGGCGAGCATCTAGCATGCGCATTACTACAGATGGTGGCGGCTATCGCCGGAGGTTAGTGATTCTGAATTCCCTTGGCCACGCTTTGGTTTGGAACGGCATGCGCGTCTGTTGCATCGTGTCTGCCGGCGGGAGAGGAAAGGATCGTTATTTTGGACACTGCCATCATTGCTACACCTGCGACGCCCCCATTCTGCCGACCTGATGGTCACCTTCAATTGCCGTTTTAATGCTACATCAAAAAGCTAACCAACCCTTGCATTAGAACCTCCAAGGACGATGTCCAAGTATCTCCCACATCTACTACCGCTACTCGAGGCACTCTGTCACCGCCATCGTCAAACTCCGCCTCCAATATTCCAGCCAAAGATCGTCGATTGAGCGACCTCACAAACTACCGCCGTGATCTTGCCGTTCTCGAGCCAACTCGTTCCCATCCGCCGGCCTCGTCATCATCGTCGCAACTACTGCAGCCGCAACACAGTCATTCAGTGGGCAGCTTGGCGGCAACCACTCAGATCGCGCCGTGGATGTCGTCAGCTTTGCCCGCCGCCTCATCTCCCAAGGGACTATCCACGAGCTTCTATAATGATTCCAGCGACAACTTGTCCCTTGCGTCGCAGTTGTCCCCCGGCCTGCCGTCGGCAACAGGTCGTCCGGGAACTGGCTCCGGTTCCATCAGCCAGGACTATGCCGATGCACTGTATGATAACATGGACGGCAGGCGGCCTTCAGCTGCCAGTATTATTACAACCGCCAGTAGTCAGGGCTCGAAAACCAGCGTTAATCGCGGTGGATTCCGCAAGCTTCAGGGTTTTTTCGGCGAGGAGTTTCCTGGTCATGACAGTTCCGAGAGTAGCCTCCCCATTTCAGTCCCAGGCAAGGATCAACGTTCACGATCTTATAGCCACGGCCGTCCAACCCAACGCGATCGCAACTACTCCAATGCCACAGACCGTGAACCGTCGCCTTCCTCATCAAGGCCAAGAACCCCTGTGCCAAATCCAGAAGTCGTTCCTTTCCTCTACCAGGATAATACGGTGAGCCCTCGTTTTTTGTCTCGTTTTAGTCTGTTGTGTCTCTAGTTCTCCAGCCCACAGTGACCGATCTTCATCTCCAAAAAAAAGG